GAAAGCAGTAAAGATGGATCTCTTCCAGCAGGCTTTCCCAGAATAACCTCCCAGCCCAGTCGGAAGCGACTGCCACCCCTCTCCCTTGTATTGTTGCTGCTTCCTGTTTTTATTCTATTTTTATATTTTATTGTATTATTGTATTTTAATCTTTGTTTGTTTAATTCAGTTTTAAGGGTGGGTGGGCGGGCTGGGGAGAGGGTTGAGGGAATGTTTTTAACTGTTGCCTGTTTTAATATGTTGTACCCCGCCCCGGTTGCCTAGCAGAGGGGCGGGCTAGAAATAAATTTATTATCATTATCATCATCATCATCATCATTTCTGTATCCTCCAGCATGATTTTGTCATAAGCTTCTGCTGGAAGTCATTCATTTCATTAGAGTTTGCTATTATCCACGGTTTCATGTTGGTGCAGTAGGTCTGGAAGCACATCCTCCACGGAAAAAGGGGTTGCATTGTAGTTATATTCTTCCCTACATCAGGGCATACAAATATAATTAAACAAATTAAAGCAGTTTCAGATTTTAAAAATAAAAGATAATTTACTAAATGTTAGAATTTTATTAAACGGTAAAAGTAGCTTATTAAACAATGTAACGATGTTAAAACTTTAAAACCATGCATATATATAGATTTGGAGAATATTAATTCAGCTTGAAAGGCTTTAATTAAAAGCTATGTTTTAAGTTAAGAATGAAGCCAGCCATTGATGTGATGCAATGGGAGGACATTTCAAGTTGGAGTGCTACAGGAAAGAAGGCTCTCTCCTATGTTTTTTCATACTTTATTGCCTACACTGGTGGGACAGAGGGTGCCTTCAGCATATCTGTCTTTAAGCAGCATGTACAGGGACAAGCATTCTTGCATAAACTGAGGACCTATCCCATTTCAGATTTTTATCACCAGCACCCCTTCCCACCAAAAGACATACGCACATGTAACGCCAACGTATGTGTTTTGGTTATAGAATGTTTTCTAGAAAATGATACAAGTGACAGTATCAGTAGAACAGACACAAGGCAGTTTACTTTCCCTTTGCAGACCCTTGCTTGTTTTCAGTGTCTACTCCAGAGTATTTGGAGGACCCTGTACAGCTGCAGAGAGGGCAGGGAGGTTATGGAGTTCTGTAGTGAGGAGGCCTGTGTCTCATTCAGCAAGCAGAAATCTACCTATGCAGTAAAATACTCGTTTGTTGTTGACGTTGGCTGTTACAGTCTCTTCCAGCTCTGATTCCAGTGCAATAGCAAGAACATCATGGGCTTTCTGAAGTGCCCTATGATTTGTTGGGGATGTTGCATTTTTGTATAGTTTCTGATCTCTTACTACAGGGACAGGCAACCTTTTTGAGACCTGGGCCGGTCTCCCGTAGCCCAGGTCTTGGCTGGGCTGAGGGGGGGGAATGGTGGCGCACACGCTCACACGCGTGCGTGCACCCTCCTCTGCCCCGTGCGACACCCCCATGCATGCTGCCGCCGCGGCGGCCGCTATTGCTGCCACCGCCGTAGTGCGCATGGCTGTAGCCACCACGGCGCATGCCGGGGCCGCCATTTTGGAAGTCCAAATCGCGGCCACGACGCGTTTGCGCATGCGCAAGAGTACTGCGCATGCGCAAACGCGTCGCAAACGCCATTTTGACTTCCAAAATGCCGATCGCAGCGAGCGCGGCCGAAAACGCCACCCAACGGCGGTGGCAGCGGCAACCTTCGGCCTGGGCCAGTAAGTCTGGGGCTCGGGGCCTTAACCGGCCCCTGGGCTGTAGGTTGCCGGTCCCTGTCTTGCTAGATGACACCTCCACATTTTAAAACTCTGGTCTATTCGGTTTCCATGAAAGCTAGAAACAACTTTTAAAAGGAAAGCCACCATTTTGAGAAATAATACTCTGAGATCATGAAAGCAATTTTTACCATTCATTCCAGGCAGCAAGAACATGAGTATATATATATAATCTCTTCTCAGGAAAATGGATCTTTTGTAAATCATTTTTGAATGTTCTCTGGGTGGCAGTTCTGATGGCAATACAGTGATGGAGCTAGCATAACCTTCAAGGCCCTCCAGCAAAATGTAGTGCCACCTCCATGTATGGGCATGGGTGGGGAACCTTTAGTTTTACAGATATAATAAGTTTTGTTGTTGTATGCCTCATGGTGAGCTTAAGGCTGAGAGCATGTGGCTTGCCCAAGATCACCAAGTAGGCTTCATGGCCAAGCTGGGAATCAAACCCTGGTCTCTAGAGTTGTAGTCCAACACTTAAATCACTACACCACATTGGCTCATGGATGGGGAACTTTTGTCTTACAGATACAATAGACTACAACTCTCACAATCCTTTATGACTGGCCAAGCTAGCTGGATTTCTGGAAGCTGAAATAATAATAATAAAAAACCCCATAGTTTTCCAGCCTGCTTAATACTTGGCAGCATTGGTTTTTTTTTTTTTGGCATTATCAGGCTGCAACATATCTAAAACAGCAGGGTGTTTGCCACCTTTCAGTAGTTCAATCTAATCTGGTAAAATGCTTAGTTGTGAAATATTTTTGATGCTTGCTTTTGTTATCCTAGCCTGTTCCTGTTGCACGCAAGCTTTCAGCCCGAGAGCAGCGAGACTGTGAGGTGATTGAACGCCTCATCAAATCATATTTCCTAATTGTAAGGAAGAACATTCAAGACAGGTTGGTTATACTATAGAGTTGGAATCTTAAGTCTTTGTTTATTATTTTGACACCAGATTTTATGTGCAAATGAAAACGAGTAGTCCTATGCAGTTAGCTTAATGTGGGGATGAAAAGGAAATGGTTTGCAGAAGACAAGTGAGAGATTGCATTGGCTCTTTCCTCCATTTGTTTCTAAGCTAGGGACAGGCAGCCTCATATCCTCTAGAGACTTTGAATTGTAATCATTTAATATACACTGGACATGTTGTTTGGGGCTGATGGGAATTCTAGTCTTAGCACATCTGGAGGACACTCAACTACAACTCTTGCATCTAAAAGCAGCAGACTATCAAATTAAAAGTTACTATGAAATTATTACTTTGGCATACTTATAAATGTTTGGCATGTTTTTATTTGTAAACTACCTTTCTTTAATATTACTCATTGTATAAAGGCAGCAGTCATTTATAAATACAAGTATCACACAATAAAATAATTGTAGCAATGATGGCCCTTTCTGGGGAGCAACATCTTCTTTTGGCACATTGCTTGCTCTCCTTTTCTTCCTCTTCACATCCACTCAGGTCCTTCCCAATACAGAGAAAACAATAAAAAAGTAAGGTTTTATCTTGCACAGAAGAATAAAATACTTTGCCCCAATTGTATTCCCCTTTCATTTTAATTTGTTGGGTAGACATTTTTTGATGCCTATGCACTCTCTAGATAATTTTATCTGATAGCTTTTTAGTTTGTAGAAATGCATTTACCTTTTTAGAACATAAAGTGGAATTCTTTCTTCAGTTCTTAGAGCAGCTGTTAGTACTAGAATGACTTCTTTTTGCTTGTAGTGTGCCAAAGGCTGTGATGCATTTTTTGGTTAACCACGTGAAAGACACTCTTCAGAGTGAATTAGTGGGACAGCTGTATAAGGCCTTATTGCTGGATGATCTTTTGACTGAATCAGAAGACATGGCACAGCGCAGGAAGGAGGCTGCTGACATGTTACAGGTACCATAAACAATTTTGTTGTAGTTTCAGAAATGAAGAAGCATTACAAGGCTGATAGTTATAGGTATATGGTTTACAAGTGATATTTTCAAACTTTCAGATTCTCCAAGTTGAAAATGTTTTTGGTTTAATGTAACCAAAATTTCAAATGTAGTTAATGCACTTTTCACAGAGACCTAGGTATTACTGCTACATAAAATGAGTTTTGTGTATCTTGCTACACTTGTCTTTGCCACTCCCTGAGGCATAAATGTGTGTATGTGCCTGTTGACTTATGGCAACCCCATTAATTCTGTAGAGTTTTATTAGGCAAGGAATACTCTGAGATGAGAAGTTGTAGGCTTTCATGGTCAGCATCCATAGATTTTTGTGGGTTTTTCGGGCTGTGTGGCCATGTTCTGGAAGTTTCCTTCTGACGTTTCGCCAGCATCTGTGGCTGGCATCTTCAGAG